AACCGAAAAGAATATAGGCACAAAATATAGAAAATAGGCACTCTTTCCCAACGTAAGAAAAAAAATAATTTAAGAAAAAAATAATTAATGAGCCATTTTTACTCACTGGTTACAAAAGTAGGTACTAACTGGAAGCATAGTGAGACTAAAAGGTACTCTTCCTAAATTGATATAACTTTATCCAAGGCAATTCCACCAAAATTTCAACGGAACTAGCATTATAACAACACTTTACTTAACGCTAATTGAGCTTAACTATAGTCTCAAAATTAAATCACAACTCACTGTCTCACTATCGACTTGCGTTTCACTAATTAGGTATTCAATCACTGAGCTTCCCCCTCACTGGCCGACTCCGTTTTCTAGCGCTTCTTTGCTTCTAGAATTCTCTAGATATTTCGCTTCCGTATCGGTTTCGAATGTGCTGAACCCCCAGCTAGCAATGCCACGTCAATATCACGTTAAAAAAACGTCACCATTTACGTCAAAATCACTAAATTGATGACGTAAATTACACGTTTTTAAGACGGTAATATGTCACAGATATTCGACGTCATTATGCGACGTGAAAAAGACGTTCCTATTTACGTCTAAAATCATCAAATTGCGACGTGAATTTACGTTTTTATGACGACAATATGTCAGATATTCGACGTCATTATGGGACATTAAAATGACGGAAAATTTGTGTCCTGTACGATGAAAAACTTACCTACATTTTGGGGATTATGGATAATAAAATTGAAAAATTGATTACCTATAGACTATATTTATTGCACAAACATCATTTTAACTCTTATATTGTTATTGAATAATGAAAAAAAAAAATTAAAAAAAAAAATTGAATTCCAAAATAATAAATGACAAAGAATACAAATAAGAAAATAAATATGGAATATGTACAGGGTGTTTCCTTATATTTTGACGCCTACCTACAGCTTAAGCTATAAGACGTGGAAAAAACTTCAAATATGAAAGTTGTACGGTTTTATCGGTAGTATTTTTTTTTTGACCCTTCTAAAACGGAAAATCAGGGCTAAATATATATTTTTTTTAAATTGAACACCCTGTACGTTTTTAGCTCTAATGAAAGTAATTTTTCTCCTATTTCCAATGTATACTTACCTGTTTTAAAAGCGCCAAAATACACTACGGATAGAACCGTACAACTTTCATATTTAAAAAAATCCACCTCCTATAGCTCAATCTGTAGGTAGGGGTCAAAATATGAGGAAACGCCCTATACCTACTTACAAAATAGATTTAATTCTAGAATAACATACAACCGAGAATGGAATAGAAACAGAATACTTATGCATAAACAAAGTTTTAATTTTTAAATATTAAGTAGTTAGGTACCTTGACAAAAAAAAACAAATAAAAATAGAATTCTAAAAAATCAAAAATTAATTCTAGAATAAATATTAACATAATACAGGGTCTGTTCCTTATAATTAGTGCAGCCTCTACAACTTGAACAAAAAAAAAAGTGAAAAAAAAAACTTAACTACAAAACTTAGGGTTTAATCTCTATCATCTTTGGCACATGTCAAAACGGGCAAATGACAGGGGCAAATGACAGGTGCCAACTGTCATAATGACAAACACTTGCATTTGTTAAATAGATTACCCTGTATATTTTTGGATAGAATGATATATTTTTTTCTTCTGATTCCAAATATACCATATATGTTGATATTTATTTGGTTCAGCTGCTTTTACGCTATACATACTTAATAAGTTTAAAAATGCATTTACATTACCCTAAATTAGGTCTGTTTCGGTTTCTTACATCAATGATGAATGAGGCTTGCTCAATGCAATTTTAAAATTAAATAATGCAAAAACAGCTGAACCAAACATTAACATATGGTATATTTGAAATCGGAAGAAAAAAATAATTCTAGTCAAAAATATCCAGGGTGCTCCATTTAAAAAAATGCAAGTGTTTTCATTATGACAGTTGGCACTTGTCATTTGGCCGTTTTGACATTCGCAAAAGATAATGGTGATAAGACCCTACAACTTTTGTATTTTACTTTTTTTTTATATACCTATTTTTTTTGTTTAAACTGTAGAAGCTGTACTAATTATAAGGATAAGACTCTGTACACAGTTAGTTTATGGCGATTTAGAAATTTACTACACAATTAATTTTAGTCTTATATTTGAAGAAAGGCAATTTCCAATCTATGATGTTTCTGAAGGTGGATATGATCTGTATGAATGAAATGGTAATTATTAACAATAATTTTAATAGGAGAATGAATGAAATATACTCATTGAGTTTTTTCCAATGGCTACTCAGGTTGGTCGGTCATTTCCAGTTTAGTAAATTGGAGGCATAAAATTAATAAAAAATTAAAGACGAACATATTTTTAAAATTCCAAAAATTGTAGATACTGTATAGGAATAATTGAATATGTATGTATAAACGAAACCGCGCATTTTCATTTCATATAATTAAACCTTGCAAGTGTGAAAGAGGGGAATTGATACAAAATTATCCTGATATGGCAAAAGCATACATTTTCCAATTATTTCAGAAATATGCCAAGTTTTTGTGAAGTTGGTTAAACCTGAAACTAAATGTATATGTAAATCACTGGAATCAAATGGATAATCATAATAGGAGTCACATGAAGTAAAATACCTGCCAATAATCTTAATTTCATTATTATCATTGTTTTCCCTAATTAAGTTTTCTATTTGAATAACATAGGCATTGGTGAAACAGTAAGAGTCTGCTTTTGAGTACGAATGGATAGTAAAAAAATTGTTTTTCAAAGATAATTTTCTAAACTTTTTAGATAGTTGATTACTACTGCATGGTCCGTTGTAGTGTTCAAATTCTAACTTCACTTCGTGATTCAAAATCGTACAGGTATTTACTGATTCTAACTCAATAATTCTTCGACAAATTTGTTGCAATGGTTTTGTAGAAGACCTAACTAAACTCTTTATGTTTCCCAAATAATTTTCAAACGGGAAAGCCGAAAAACTATCAAGTGAGCCAAACTTCAAAACATCATCTGGAAGATGACTTAAAACGTGTATATTGTAAATTGGAAATTCAGACCCATATAACTTTTGTCCATGGCTAATAAAGGTTTCAAAAATTCTTTTGGAGTTTTCACAATTTTTTTCTCTTGACAAATTATTTTCAGACATTAATAGTATTATACCAGTATGAAACAAAAGAAAATGATTATAAATAGGGGCACTAACAATATCTTTCAACACTACAATTCCTGTATCCAAAAGAAATGTTCTAAATTCGGTAGCCTTAAATTTTGGCTCTGCCATTTATGTAATCACCAATTTCAATACATTTGTCACAACTTGAATATCCACTATGTGATTTGATGCACTTAATAAAAGCTTTAGCTGGGGCATCACAAATGAAGCTATGAATAACAATTGAGTACCTTCTATTTTCAAATAGTAAACCATCTTCTTTTAAATTATTACATTCCCTAATGAATGAATCCAAATATAAATCAAGAGGACAGGGTTTGGAGTTTCCACAAAAGATACCAACAGCAAAGGGATTCTGATCATTGAAATTTTTAATTAAACCTAGTATAGGCCATGCTTGTATATTGGAGCTCTTGTACAGAGGAATACCATCAATATTGAAACTAACATTTATAATGTTGTCACTAAAGTTTCTGTATTTTTCTAAAAAAAATCTCACAGCTCTCTCTAGGCCTAAATGTATATATGATCCAGTATTTAATTCTGTTATATTGAAACATTGTGGGGTGGACAAAAGAGTGCGACTATCAAGGGGAAGTTCTGAATGATATGGTTTCAAAATACGTAAAAGTTTTGTTAAAGCACAGTGGGTGACTTTTTGTGATATTGCCCAACTTTTTAAATCAAATTTGAGGTCACTATTTGGATTATTTTGATTTTTTGCTGTAACCTGCTGCTGCTCTTGGGAAGGATCTTCATTATCAGAATCTTGCAATAAATCAGTAGGTTTGAAAAAAAAATCATGTGCTGGAATTGAATCCGACACTGAATTGTCAGAATCAAGCTGCAAGTTATCTGAAATTTCAACTGACTCTGGCGGTTCGATTATATTTGATGAACTACTACTCTCAAAATTATTATTATTGCTAGAACCAGCATCCAAAATAAATCTATTTAATTCACTGTTCACACGTCTGTACATTTGCTCTGGGAAACTATCTTTTTTAGTTTAAGTTTTGGCATCTTGCAGAAAATGAAAGCAGGCAAAAATCCGGCTAATTGTATTATGGTGAATTGAATTATTGGTTACGATTTTTGGTGGATATTTGTGTTTTTGCTGGATATTTGTGTTTTTAATGTATATTTGTGTTTATGATCAATATTTTTAGGTATTATTATAACATAACCCAACAATTCAACACATATGGTTTTGTTTGGAGTGATATTTGAAGCCGTCTTCAACCTGATAAAGTACAAAAACTAGTAAAATGTATCAAGTTTCATCATTATTTTCATTTTGACACACAATAGTATAAAGTATAAGTAAAATCACAAATCAGTGAAAATTATATTTATCACCTACCAACTATTTTATTTTTGTACATTTCCCTTACGTTATGGATCTCAGAATGTTATTTTAATTTTCACTAGGAGTGAAAAGCGATTATTTTAGATTTAAAAACTGTTTTTTATTTTCCTTTTTTTTTTTAAGAGTTTGAGTGTTTCGTTTCAATAAAAAAGTGTTATTATATTTTTTAAAGTTTTCCTTTTTTAAAAATTTTTGTGTGGATTTTTGTATTGATGGATATTTTTGTAAATTATTATGGAAATATCCATCAGAAATTCATGCAATAACCAAAGTGGAGAGAGAAAATTGTTTGCCAACCCCGAATATGTGTTAATTACGTGTAAGTAAATAGCTAAATTGCCACAAAATCCTAAAATGACTTAAATATATATATATATATATATATATATATATATATATATATATATATATATATACTTGAATATTAAACGTTCAACAAGTTCTTGTTTTTCTTTCAAGTGCTGCCCTTTTTGGGGCATGCTTAAGCCAAACTTTGATCAAACCATCAATATCAGCAGCATCCCCTTCACATTTCGACAATACAGCATCTATTAAAAAAAGTAATTTTCAATGGAGTGTTTTAAGCGTTTCGAGAAGGCAAATGAACAAATGAGAGTAAATAAGCAAGAAATAGATACTTACTGACAACAACTTTTCTCAGTTTTAGGTTTGCAAATGGACGCTTATCCTGTCTGGTGCCCAAAAAGCTGAACTCGGCTGCAACTCTGTTGGAGAGCAGATTCCTCAAAATATTATTAACTTTGGCAACTTTATCTCGGCCGCCCAAGGTTTCACAATATGAAGCCTAAAAATGTTTTATAATTATCATAACCAACCGAAATTTAATTGATGCGCACCAAAGCAGAAAGATTTTTGTCAAGAGCAAGATACTCCTCAATTGATTTTAAATCTTCAATATTTTGTAGTGGGATTGCAACTGGCATATCCTTGGGTGGGACTAATTTCATTCCAGTTGCATCCTGCCGATCTTCAAGGATATTTAGAATTTTACTATTGCTTAATTTGCAGGAGGACAGTGATTAAATTTTTTTGGAAATCTTGAAATATAAAAAAAATATCTGAAATCGTCAAGTTTACAGTTCAACACTTACCAATAGGAGTCAACACCAAAAATAAAAAAAAGTCAATTTCGAATCAAAACAATAAAAAATAATGGAATTTGCCATAGTCAAAATACTATAGGTATATGCTATATGGATAATAGAAGTAAAAAATTAATACCTGAAACTCTTAAGCAGTTATCCTTATCCTTGTCAAAATCAACTATATTTTGTTCAGGGCTGTTCTCTCTCTCACTATTCACTAAAATAGAGAAAATAATCGCGGTAAGATATTAGATAATTATTATTTGGTTGTAGCTAAATTATAATTCAATAAATTTAATTATTATTAATACCTGACTTTTCTACATCACTTTCTTGGGATTGCCGAGGGAATAGCTGCACTTTTGGAGGAAGTTAATTGTCCCAATTAATTCTAGATTTTTGTGAATTACCTTTAAAAAATGTAAGTTTCACTACTTTACTTCCTGGTTAAACAAATAAATATTTGAAGCTAAAGTATTAACAAAAATAGAAGAATAAATATGCGGCCTGTTTTCTTTTTAGAAAAAAAAAGCCACAATAATTTTTGGCTTTCTGCGAAGACACTATTATACTAGTGATAGCAATTAATCTTTGGATCATTCTAATCAGTTATCTATGCTGGAGGCTTTAATTATTTGCCCATTTGATTAATTCCCAATATCTCAAATTTTAGTACACACCTAAATATTACTCCAAACAACAAACCAAACTACGAACAAAACACTAACGTGGACAAGGCTACGAATGCATTTGCTAACAGGTTTGCAAATCCTGGCCATTCTGAGCCCCATCTACATTAGTGTTTTGTTTGTCGTTTGGTTCGTTGTTCTGTTTGGCCTTAGGCATAATGTTCAAGGCTGTACAAAGCTTAACCAAAACTGTTAAGATGGCAGTCATAGCACTATAGTCATATAAATAGAAAATAGAACTCACTTGTTCCACTTTGGACCCTTTTTAATTGTAGCTTCTTCGGAGGGGGTTCATTCGCCTCACTTTCATCGCTGCTTTCAGTGAAAAACAATTTTCTATTCAGCTTTCTGGGACGTTTTAGGGGTAATTTTTCCTCAATATCGGTTGCCACATCCGAAGTTACTTCTGCCTTTTTCAATTTCAATGAGGCCTTTTGATAATTATCTTGAAAAAATATACAAATTCAAATACTGCATAATAGAAAATACAAAGAAGAAATCGTAATGAAAATGTTGCAAAATTAAATTCCACTACTTGGATATCATTCATAACCTCACATATCAAAAGGCTTGACCTAGATTGATATACCTACCTTCGAAGTTCACAACTGCTTTTACTTACCCTCCTGAAAAAATGATTTTTCCACTTTAAAAAGACTCCACTGTTCGTTAGGTGTCTCTCCTTTCCTGAGACTTTTAACGAAAACCTCATGCTGTTTGTGGGGTGGCCACCATACCTCTTTTTTGCGTGGCGTCAACCATTTTTCATGGACAAGAGATATGGTGCCCCCATCAGCCTCAGTAAACTGGATGCCTACAAACATTTTCTTCTCCTATTTTTTGTCTTCACATACCTTCACAATTGAATTCACAACGCGATAAATTAGCACGGCGGTTGGTTTGGCGCGAGCCGCAAATGGCACCATTCACCATTAAATGATAATGGCGCGGCCGGCGGGAACGGTCAACGTCAACGGTCTGTCCACTGTCAGTCTGTCTACCTCGGGTCCGCCGCATGATGTTCGCGGTCCGCCGTCGCGATAATAGCGAATTCTATTGGTAGAACCAGTGCAGAAGAAAAATGTGTTTTTATCTCTTTCTTATACAAGCTGATAGAAAAAGAGACGAATGTACTCAGTGCGCACACACTTCCAATAAAATTCGCTATTAGTTATATAGTTATTGGCCCTGTTACCCCTGTTCGGGGAAAAAAAGACGGTTCTAGAACGGTTCAAAACAATTGCACAGTTTAATATTGAAATTTGTGATAACCGAGCCGTTGTCATTTTTATTAATTGATGACCGTGCGATTGTTTTGAACCGTTCTAGAACCGTCCATTTCTCAAACCCGAACAGGGTTATCGTTTTTGGAATTTTCATGCACCCAGCACCATTCGCTATAGTACATATATAGTTATTTCCATATTGTTTATCTACGAATAGCCGCTTATGATACTAATTATATAGGTCAGTAAAGTCACGTCATAATGACGTTATAATATTACCAAGAATAATTACACCCAAACTCGTATCCAAAATGACGTCATCACGACGTCCCAATCTGGGACCTAGAAAGACCTCGACGTATTTGACCTGTTTTCGACGTGATTATGACGTTTTTGGACGTCACCTTGCTGGCTGGGCCGTTGCTTGCACCGTTCATCATCTCCTATCAGGTTTAAAAACATGGCAAATTGAGTTTCCTCGGATTTCTTTGTCAATTCTATAGCTGTGGAAAACACTGATAGAATCGCTTTCAGTTTTTGGCAATGTTGCCATCGAGCATGGAGGCCTGCGAAAGTGTTTCATTATTACCGCCCAGGCAAGCTCAATAACAGGGACCACTGCAGTCTGCAAGCGACACTGTCCTATTTTTAAACTTAGTTGAAGCGTTCAATCACACTGACACTGCTAGTGACTAACTTTACTATTGCCGAGACCGTAAAACCTGACTCTATGTCATACCCTGGAACACACTTTCCCCCCCACGCCAAAATATCAGTTGTGGCGTAGGCAGCATGTTATTTCTCGCCTTGACGTAGGCTGTTTTAACAGCTGACGAATTAGTTATTGCGTCGGAAATGGTATCACACCAATATGGCGGCGAATACCAAAAACGAGGCCGATAAGCACTCCTAAGAGTGTGTGTTCTCCTTGTATTTCCCAGGCTAACAAACTGACTAAAACTAGGTTATGTTTACAAGGCATGCCAGTTCTTGGCGGGATCATTGTGTGACACTTGACAGCAACATGCTACGCAGTATTGCCAACTACATTATACTACAGTAACAAAGTCTATTAGTAACTACCACGATTTTTTTATTGGTATATTTTCTCATAAATTTGCCAGCGATGTCATTGCCTTGCCAATTAAGGTATTTTTTAATTATTAACTGATCAATCAAATGCAAACAAAACAAAATAATTTTGTTATGAGTTTCCTAAAGTGCCTTTTCCAGTCTGTTATAGACTTGGGAAATTTTATGGTAGGTGCTGTTGAATATTGTAAAGTTTGAGCTGTCACAAGTTGTAACATTTGTAGCAACATAGCCAGTTCAATTGAATGTAAATAGTAGGTAGGTAGGTAGGTACCCTAAGTTTCCTTCCACCTTCCATAAATAGCTATTTTTCAACTTTACTGCACTTGAAAAATGAACCATCCAATGAAGGGATCTAAAGGAATTGAAATATACTTCTCAAACTACCTTAAAAGACTGGTAATTCACGTTTTCATGATTAAAACAGTACAAATTATTAATCTATACATATTTCTCAGAAGGCTATACTTAAACCTCTATGCTTTGATACAACACTTTTAACTACTAATTTACAGAAGAGGGCGTAAAACAGCGATAAAACGGGGCCCACTCGGGTGACCTCCCATAGTTCTAATTGCGTTGCCCCCCGTGGTCGCCAGGGGCGAACACCCACTGAAAACGCCCTTGTCATTACCAATGTGTATAATTTAGGTGTCAAAATATCGATAATTTGACATCGCAGCATAAGGGTGTAAATGGCTTAGACAGCTTTTATGTGTTAAAATCGTGAGAACATTATTCTGTGTTTATACCTAACCTATACATCTGCAGAAGAGCTAGTATTTTTGCGTAACTTTGGAAATTTGGTTCTGTGAAACGCACTTGAGATTTTAGAGGGCTGCTAATAAAATGACACAACTCTACCTTGAATATTGATAAAGAATTGCAGCTCTCGAATAAATACGCTTAATTTATCAACATAAAAACATGATTTCATTAAAGCGAAAAAAAATATGGATATAAGTACTCGAGATTTCCCCCCTATACTCTTCCAAAGAAATTCGACAAAAACATTTTCCGCTTGCCTAAACACAAAGCCGTTTCCTTCGTCTTTTCTGGGCAAACATAATAAGCTTTTCGCTGTGACAAGAAATCTTGTGTATGTAATGAAAGCTAATAAGATAAATTACTCTTAGGACAAGGTTTTTTAAGATGACGCTGCTCGGTTTTCATTATACTTACTTTTTCTTGTCCTTTATATGAAGGACAAAAAATGATTAGGGGACATTGTAGAGGATGACAGGAGTGGGTGACTGGATTTTATACTGATTACACATTTTACATGCTGTGTAAAAGCTTCCTTAATTGTCACTATTGCTTTGGATCCTGGAAAATAGAAAGTTGTCAGGTTTTTATTACATAGAAGATCTTTCAAATCCGTCAAATATCGTTTTTCTACTGGAATCAGTTAGTCCCAAATCTTTCGAAGCTGTATATTTTTTCTATTGTCTGTAATGTTTTTTTTAGCTTCAATAATAATTTATCTTCTATCCCAAATGAATACTTAGCACATCCTCAACCAAGATACACCCTTGTTTTTTTCCTAAAAACCCCACCCACTTGACACGCCATCTTGCAAATGCGAAACGCATTAATCTAATTGATAAGAATCATCAGTCATTTTTGGAGGCATCTGTTGTTGTTGTATGCCCGCGTTTTGAATGGGTCAATCAGACATTTCACCACAATGGCGGCTTATTTCAGGTGATGTCGGTTTATTAAAAAATATTACTAAGGCCTTTTTCTATTGGGGTATGTTTAATGTGTCTTTTGTTGATAATACAGGAGCGAATTAGGAATTTCTATAGTAGTTTGATTGAAAATGATTAGGTACCATAATCTAGGAAATGAAAAAGCTTTTAGTGTTCTGAAAGCTGATCTAAGTACTGAAAGTCTATTAATCATTGAAAAATCTCACGGGCCAGTTTGGCAAGAAATTGTATATCAACCAGTTATGAAGGTTGAAACCAACCTCAAATAAACATCAAGCCGCATTCAGATGATAAGTCTTTCTTCAGAATAGACACTACATGTTCCTAGAGAAAAAAAAAGGGGGAATTCATTTCCTCATAAGAAAACATCTTATTTTCTCCGGTTTCAAAACGGTGGTAACCATACATAAATTTTAATTAGGCAACGGCCCAATTAAGGATCGATTGAGAAGTATTTTCTCTCTGCCAGGCCATCCGTGGACGCGTTTCACTGCATTACAACAGCTCATCAGCACGGTAAAGTCCGGCAGAGAGAAAACAAAACTCATTTTTGGTTCCGTCCCGGAGCTGGGTTTGATACAAGTAAGATGAAGACAGAGTCTCCATCTATTTTCTGGCCGGCACACCAAAAATTGCAACCAAGAACTGTATAAAACTAGTATCAAATTGGAGCAAATAGACTCGCAAAGGCATTCGCCACAATTGCGTAATTGTGGCGAATGTCTTTGCGAGTCTACTTGCTCCAGTTTGATACTAGTTTATGCTAGTTTTATGCAGTTTTTGGTTGCAATTTTTGGTGTGCCGGCCAGAAAATAGATGGAGATTCTGTTTTCATCTTACTTGAATCATATATAAAGTCAGCGCAAGCATCAAAAAGTTAATTGAGTGCAATCGTTAAAGGTCCAAAGCCCCAAAATATACTTTTCCGAAAATATACGATCCCCTAAATTTCGTACACAATTTTGGACATAGAAAAAGAAAATGATTGTTATAAATTAACTTAAGGGTGGTTGTTCTCACCCTCCCAATCATTGTGTTATTACAACGGTCACAAATAATACCTACAACACAATTGTTGTTCGAGAACGGTTTATAGTCGGCCATTGTGACTTGGACAAATAGTATACAAGAGGATTTTGGAACTACAAAAGCTAAAGTTTTGGCGTTGTAGGAAACCAAAAGTCTGTAAACCTTAATTAGCTATAAATCTAAATCTACCAGCCTATAGAGGGACTGTTCCTACATGTAGACAATTATTTTCTAACCCCCGAGTTGTCACCAGTAGGTAGTTTTCACCACCATCATCTTCGAAAGGGACCCATTAATTGATTGAAAAAGGATTACGCTACTAAAAAAAATAATTAATCATTAACCCTTGACAAAACCCTGGAAGATTTCGTTTCGGCGGGATCCACAATGGGCTCTAATGACTCGAACAGGCCGCAAAATGATATTAGAGAATGTAAACTAACGATCCGTTTCATCGCTTATCTTAACTGAAGGATTGTTTGATGGGACAGTGGCAGAAATTGATGGGGAAAAGGAAGAAGATACAGAGTGTCTATAAAGAATAATCTTGGATACAAAATAATAAAAAAATATTCCACAATAAATTATATAATAAACAAAAATCCATCTACATAATTATAGTATATGATTCTTTCTTAGGTCCCAAAAAATAAAAAACATTTTTTGTAACATTATGTACCAAAATTGAGAACAAAAAGTCTCGCGACCGTGACAGGACTCGAACCTGCAATCTTCGGATCCGAAGTCCGACGCCTTATCCATTAG